TCTTATTATCAAACATTTGTTCTACAAGACCTGATTGAAAGAGGAAAGTCAATAAGTTAAAAGGAAAATGATAAGAACTTAAATGTCAAATATATACACATTTTGATTACTTTTATTAAAAATGAACATGTCTGCATATAGGTTGGTATATCAATTCAAACTTCGTTTTGTGTACCATAATACAATCCAGGGTTCCTTTTCATCGTTTCCATAGAAGCATGTTAAAACAAACTTCCATCAATCAAATTTTGTACCACATTTGCGACTTTTCTCTCTGTCAAAACTAATTTCATTTTTTTTTTTGTGCTGAATCATCTAACTTCGTTCATGATGCGCATGCGTGAATATGAAATGCTATCGTAGATTTGTGATAAATTGTACTTTGGACAATGCTTTACTTTGTAACGTAAATATCGATTGCAATACACCTTTCACAGCGGCTATATTGTCATCAATATATAATTTTGTAATGTGACAGAGTAGATTGTTATGTTATAATTAAGGAGCGAAGAAGATATACAATAATTTATACAATAATACGACTTTCTAACCATATGTTTTTGACCGGAGAATGTAATAATATTCTAAGCTAGTTTATACTAGTATTTTAAAACTGTTATCATATAATCTTACCAAAATTAAATATGTTAAATTAAAAAAGCAACATTTTACTCAATCAGAATATTTTGCATCTTGGTCACATTTGTGACTTTTAATTCTGGCTTTATTTCGCGAAACATTCAACAAAACTACAGAATGATTCCCAATTAACATTTTCACTCATAGAACAAATTTTCAACCAATTATGCTAGAAAAGTATCAAAATACGCCCTACAAAGTTAACTTCATACGGGCGTGACATCCTCTTCTTTTGACATATATTTTAATATCATGACTGCCTTTACAGCCTATAAGATGTAGTAAGAATCAATTTTCTCTTTGTTTAAAAAACGTTATGTTCACAGGCATGGAGAATTCAATAAAAATACATCACTTCTGAAGATATTTTAAGTATACACTACCAGCAATCCCATTTACCAGCATATTCTGACCGTTTCTGGTACAAGATATATTCGACGAAGAATATTGAGTATAAATGCTGGTATATTTTAAAAGTGAAGCAATGTATATCCAGAAAAACCTTTCACTCTCCTTTGTATTTCGACTTCAAGGCATTCCAGACTGTCATTGACAATTAACTAAAGTGTTAGACTAATGGGTTTCTTTAAAAGGATCAAACATGACGTTGATGACTTAAAAACAAACTGCATTATAGGACACATTTTAATATTGTCACAAGTGCTAAATATATTGAACTTACTGATACTAAAATATAATAACTGTTTATATGTAATATTTCAAATTATTTAGAAATAGCCATTAGTTTGCCAGCAAAAGAGTACAGTTATTGTTATAACATGGTTATTTTTAAGATGGTTTGCATAAAACATGCAGATCGCCAGAAAGAATGTAATAATCTAAATAGTTTTCAGACAGTTACTTCCTTTTTCTTAAAGTTGGAAGTTCAAAATTTGTAAACTATTCCGAAAGAATTCAGCCAAGTAATAAATTGAAAATATTTGTCGGGAATGTTTTGAATTATTAGCGTTTCAAAAAAAATGCAGAACAAGAACAGCAGATCATTGTAAGAGAATAATTCTTAACCGTTCTCGATTGACACGCAAGCGATTCAAAGAGCACATGATGGCTATAGTTTATTTATAGTAACGGGGAGATCAGTGGCAGTGTGGTAGTCCATACATTAATGTGATTCCCTGTCAGCCACAAACATCTGATTGAAGAATGTTTCATAATTAATTACTTTTACAGATAGTGATCACGTTTAGTTTAGCACAAACTTAATTTCAATTTTCATTTCATAGGGGATTTCTTTAAAATACAAAGTCGATGTTAATACATATTGTTTAGCGACCTTTGTCCAGAAATTATTTCATGATAACTATATTATGTTATAGTAAACACTCGACCAGTCACGTTGTTTTAAAACAATGCTATACGATTGTATATACTTATACATTATAATGCTTTTGTAAATGTGGTCAATGATTGGTGTAAATGCAGGTATCTTGCACGCTACTATCTAGGTCACCATGGTATGACATACCATGGCAGTATTCATCGATATAAAATATAAAAGATAGCATCAAAGAATATGTGAAAATACGGTCACATCACTTAACACCCGATGATGCGAATAATTTGCAAATTCTAGAAACGGAAATATCCCCCGAGAACATACAAATAAGAATATTAATACACAATTACATTGTACATCATCATCAACAACAACAAGAACAACAACAACAACAGCAACAATTACTTTTATTAAAATCAGATTACAAACACGTAATAACATTGTTTCATATTTAATTCTACATTAAATATATATTGTTTCATATTTAATTCTACATTAAATATATATTGCATGCAGTACCTTTAAACTTGATTGTTAGGCTCCACCTACTTAGTGTACTGACCAATTGACTACATATTGTTAAACAGTCTTAGAAATAAACTCATAGTATCAACATCTCGTATTCTCTGCATCCACACCAAAATAACACACATAAAACATGGTGTCAGAATAAAAGGATTTAATTATTTATAATAATAATTAAAATAACGGGAATTAAACGTATTCTGGATTTATAACCATTGTAAAAAGATGGATTCAGCAACAAATCCAAGAATGGACTGGGAAGCCAGAGACTTGCCAACTGCATTTAAGAAGTTTAAAGAACATTGTGACTTTATGTTTGGAGGGCCACTAGAGAAGAAAACAGAGGAGGCAAAATGCAATTACTTAATGTTATGGGTTGGTGAGAAGGGTCGCCAAATATATTCAACCTGGACAGTTACAGCTGAAGAAAGAAAACTGCTTCAGACATTCTATCAAGGGTTCGAGACATATTGCGCACCCAAAGTGAATCACATTTACTCAAGGTATAAATTTAAATCGTGTATACAATCTGAAGGACAGACCTTTGAAGAGTTCGTCACAGATTTAAAATTACTAATAAAGGACTGTGGCTACGCAGAAGAGATACAAAGCGAGATGATACGTGATCACATTGTATTTGGTGTACGTTCCCACCAAATTAGAGAAAAACTCATCAATGAAGGATCAAACTTGACACTTGAAAAATGTATTGACTTGTCTCGCACTTATACATTAAGTCAGACACAGTTAAGGGATATAAGCGGCCAAGCCCAATCAATCAATTCAGTCAAGAAATCCTCAGCAGCAACAGCAGCAGCACCATTTAAGCAGTTTCGGACGCAAGGCAGGAAGACAGAACACAACACTAGAACCAATCAACGGGTACCTACTGGAAATACAAATAACTGTAATAACTGTGGTACTTACCATTTAAAACGTGATACATGCCCAGCCAAGGGTCAAAAGTGTTTGTAATATACAAAGTTTAATCATTTCGCAAAAGTGTGTAGGAAAAGAAAACAGGATTTAGGAAGCAAAAATGTTAATGAGGTAACACATTTTAACACAAATGATCTTGATTGCTCCCTACCCAGTCATGATAATGACATGTATGTCTATACAGTTGAGCATGACTGCACAACAAATCAAGCATTTGCTAAGGTCAAAGTCTGCTCAACAGAGCTAAATATGAAAATTGATACAGGAGCTCAGGTCAATGTTCTCCCAAGGTCAATACTCAGATCATTAGGCAAATTAGGTCCCGTACTTCCAACACAAAAGCAATTAACCGTATACAATGGTCAGCCTCTCAAAGTCGATGGCTGTATCAATCTTCCTTGTACTTATAAAGGTCAAATCTCTACAGAAGAGTTTTACATAGTAGATACACATTCAAGCCCCATTCTAGGTCTTCAAACATGCCTTAAATTAAACTTAATTAAGTTAGTTCTGTCAAATACGTGCACAGTGCCTATCACAAAGGAGCAAGTGCTCAGTACTTACTCAGATGTTTTCAACGGAAAAGGAAAATTGCCAGGGGAATTTGAAATACAGTTGCGTGACAATGTCACACCAGTTGTTCACCCTCCACGCAGAGTTCCTATTGCCATTCGTGACAAACTTAAAATAGAGCTTGACAGAATGGAAAGCTTAGGAATTATTAAGAAAGTCACAGAACCGACAGACTGGGTAAATAGTCTAGTTGTAGTAGAAAAACCTAATGGCTCCTTACGGTTATGCTTAGATCCGAAAGATCTAAACAATGCCATCAAAAGACCTCATTACCCTAATAGGACTATCGACGACATATTGCCCGACTTGTCAAATGCTACTGTGTTTTCAAAATTAGATGCATGTAGTGGTTATTGGTCTATCCAACTAACAGAAAAGTCATCTTACTTGACAACTTTTAACAGTTGTTTTGCAAAATACAGATTCCTAAGACTCCCATATGGCCTAAAGAATGCAAATGATGCATTTTGTGCAAAAATGGAACAGTGTCTGGAAAATTTGCCAGGAGTAAGAACAATTGTCGACGACATTGTTGTTTACGGCAAAGATAGGGCAGAACATGACCAAAATTTGGACAAACTCTTGAGAAGATGTCAATTAATAGGTATCAAGCTCAATCCCGACAAAAAAGAAATAGGGAAAACAGAGTTACCTTTCTTTGGCCACTTAATTACTGATCAAGGTTTAAAAATAGATCCTGCAAAGGTCAAGGCCATAGCAGAGATGCCATCTCCTACTTCTAAACAGGAATTGCAAACAGTGCTAGGCATGGTCACATACTTACAGAGATTTGCACCCAAACTCTCTGAAATTACAGCACCCATGAGACAGCTTCTATCTAAAGATGTAGATTTTAGCTGGGATGCACCCCAGGAAAATGCCCTGCAACAGGTTAAAAGCATTATTACACAAAGCCCTGGTCCAATACTCTCTTACTTTGACCCAAATAAGGAAATTACTCTTCAAGTCGACTCGTCCAAGTATGGTTTATCTTCAGTATTCATGCAGGAGGGTAAACCAGTTGGTTTTGCATCAAAGTCACTTACCCCTACTGAGGTCAATTATGCCCAAATCACAAAGGAATTGTACGCTATCCTTTTTGGATGTAAAAAATTCCACCAGTACATTTGCGGTAAACGTATTACATGTCAAAGTGATCATAAACCTCTCCAAGCTATATGGAAAAAAGGCTTGAACTCAGCACCTCCACGACTGCAGCGCATATTACTGCATTTGCAGCCGTATGATATTGATGTAGTTTTCATCCCCGGGAAAAATATACCCATGGCAGATTGTTTGTCTCGGAAATTCTTACCAGACACATGCCCAGAAATAGCCGAATCGGCTAATCTAGAAACACATGTACACACAATAATGTCTAACTTACCAGTGAGTGACCAAAAAATGGAACAAATTAGGTTAACAACCAAATCTGACCCACAAATGAAAATTCTTTCATCAGTTATTCATGAAGGATGGCCTAATAATAGATCAGATTGCCCTCAAAGTATTCTGGAATTCTGGAATTTCAGAGATGAATTATCAGTTATAGATGGTGTCATCTTAAAGAATACTAAAATTCTAGTTCCAGCAGAGCTCAGACCACTCATGCTTGACATTATTCATGATGCGCACTTAGGTGTAGAAAAATGCTTAAATAGAGCTCGAAACCTGCTCTTTTGGCCAAACATGGCCACAGACATAAAGAAAAAAGTCCTGGAATGCCCTATATGTATAGAGCATAGGTGTTCAAACCCAAAGGAACCCCTGAGACCAAATAAAATACCTGATAGACCGTGGCAAATTTGTGCTACAGATCTCTTTCATTGGAATAACTCAGATTATGTGTTATTAGTTGATGCTTACAGCAAGTACTTTGAAGTAAGTCAAATCTCAAGTACAAAATCTAGAACAGTCATTAACAAATTGAAAAGCTTCTTTAGCCGACAAGGAATACCTGAAGTATTATACTCAGATAATGGCCCATGTTACAGTGCAGAAAGTTTCTTACAGTTCACAAAACTGTATGATTTTTCTCATGTTACATCATCCCCAGGTCATTCATCAGGCAATGGTTTGTCAGAAATCACTGTCAAAACTGTCAAAAATCTGTTTACAAAATCAAAACAAGCAGGAAAAGATCCTTATCTTGCCATGCTGGAATATCGCAATGCCCCATTACCCTGTGGAAAATCTCCAGCACAGCTGCTTATGAGCAGACAGTTAAGGTCAACATTGCCATTAATGTCAGAGCAACTTGATCCCAAAGTTCCTGACACTCAGGTTATCAGAGACAGCATGTTTAATGCTAAACAAAGGTCAAAATATTATAATGACAGGTCAACTAAAACCCTCAAACCTCTAGAAATTGGAGAAGGTGTTAGAATTAGGCAAGGAAAAAGTTGGTTACCTGCAGAAGTTATGCATAAAGTTCATGACAGATCTTATGATGTAAGAACAAAAGATGGTGCTATATATAGACGAAATAGATACCATCTACTTAAATCAAATGAACAACCATTTTCTGAAACTGAGAACAGTTCAAATTAAAATTACACCAACCACCTTTAGAAATTAAATCATATAACACAAAAGTTCATAACCCTAGTACAAATGAACCTGCAAATAAAATATTGACACCAGGTTAAGACGCTAATTCTCAAAAATCCCCTGTTGTCTTACAGCCCCAGACACCAAAACAAACTTCGCCTGTCAAACATCAATCACCCCTGTCTGAGAATGCAGAAAATGAATATAAAACAAGATCAGGTCGTTGTGTTAAAAAACCTCATAAACTTACCATGTAGAAATTTGTTACTTATACATGTTATTTTAACAATGTTATACTGGCTCTTAAAATGAAATATGCGTTTATGTATAGTTTTGCATACAAATATCTCTACAGTACAAAGTAACAATATTATCATTTTTGAGGTCAGTGTGAATTTATAGTGACTATTAGTGCAATGATACACCATGGAACTAGCGTGAAATCAGCTATCAATTAAATGGACATTCTACCTCACAGATAAGCCATAAATAATTTGCTGACATTTTTACAACATCTGTGGAGGAATAGAACTGAGAACATTATCACGGCAATAAAACAGACATTAAGATAAATCTGATACAAGTGATATCAACATTGTTTGCCTTGAGATTCTTTAGAAATTTTTTTGTTGTTGTTTTAAAAGAAGGGAGATGTTTCATATTTAATTCTACATTAAATATATATTGTTTCATATTTAATTCTACATTAAATATATATTGCATGCAGTACCTTTAAACTTGATTGTTAGGCTCCACCTGCTTAGTGTACTGACCAATTGACTACATATTGTTAAACAGTCTTAGAAATAAACTCATAGTATCAACATCTCGTATTCTCTGCATCCACACTAAAATAACACACATAAAACAAACATGACTCTTTTTTTCCTATTGAAATATGGGTAAGTAGATGGGGACAGATATATACATAGTTAATAAGTAATAGCATGTCTATCAATTTAATACAATATTTAAAACTTTGTAGAGCTTGTTAACCTCATTATTTATAATTTAAATGGTAAATATGCGCGTTGGGAGAATTGCATCAATTATGCATACTGAGGTATCATATTTCGTCACACTGTTATATATTAGTGACTGTTCTATTAAATGCTTTTTATTGTATTTCTGACCTCATTCCCAGAGCTGGTGCAATTAATGATACCATTTTTGTAAGTGAATGAACTCTATTTAAAATTTGTTTCTATACTATCACACCATGGAAAATTACAAAGAATTTAAGATGCAGTTTGATAATGATTACAATGTGCAGAATATCTTCCTTGCAAAATAATTAGTCGTATTGAAAATATAAAACTAAAAAATATGCTTCTTCACTTTTCTGTTTTGTTCACTATTAACAACAAAACAGAACGGGAACTGAACTGCACCATTTCTCTGTGAAGAATAATGTCTCAACATATTTTTGCTGTTTCATCTCACTATGTATTCGACGCGCATGCGTGAATCCGAGATGCTATCGTTGATTTGTCATAACATTATGATTTAAAGGCGTTTCGTTCTATAAAAGTATTATCAATCATAAATCATGTTCGATTATTGTCTTTTTATTGATGCCACAATGAAGTTTTTTTTACATTCTGAGTATTGACACAAACAAGCATCGCTTACAATATGACATTTGATACACAGTGCAATACTAAACCCGATTAACAGGGTTAATACCTAAAATATTGTACACATTAGGAATTTTGAGAATTGTGTATTGAAACAAAAAAGCACCACCATAAGACATTTAACCAATACAATACTAAAACCGATTGACAGAGTCTTAAAATATTGTACATATCACAGTTACAACAACAATAATATGAGAAATAAAGACATATATTGTGACGCTATTATAATAGAAAAAAGATATCCTATATGTACAATGGTTCGTGCATTTCACATGTGAAGTATTTCAATAGTCAATAATTCCTAATGGTGTGAAGACTTTTTTAAGAGTAAATTAGCGAATGATGCATTTGCATAATGCATTGTTCGCTTATGAACTCTTTTCCGTTACTCTGATTTTAATCAAAATGCAGTATTTTATTATTATTTCATATTAAAGTTATAGAAGTAAAATGGTGTGGTATTTAACTTTCATGTTGATTCCATTCTGTTCCACATAAACAACAAAATAGCACGATGTCATTACATTTAAATCTTCTTTATTTATCTAATAGTATTATTGATGGCAATACATAAATCATGTTCGACTCAGTAGTCATTTTTATTCATGCCACATGTGAGCTTTTGACATTCTGAGTATTGAATCAAACATATGACATCTAACCAATACAATTATTACTTAGGACCGATTGTGAATTAATATCTGAGAATATTGTAAAAACTTGTTACATGGAATTTAATACATGGCTGCATTTATGTGTTTTTACTGATTTTACAATATCGTTCATTTGATTTTTGCTTAAATACATTTCCATACAATAAGGAGCCGAGTCATATAGCAATCAATGTATACTTGAAATAAATGTTGTTGTTTTTTTTATATCACAGAGCAAACCCGTTTCCCTATCCTAAAATGTTAAGTGATGGGCAGAATTTACAAGTGGATGCATACAAATGGTACATATAATGGGGCCATGTATCGATGTTATTTCTGTAATTATCAAACATTTGTTCTTAAGACTTGATTCAAACAGAAAAAGAAAAATCAATTCATTATAATGAAAACGTTAAGAATGTAAATGTCAAACGGGGTATATACACATTTTGATTACTGATAGGAATAAACATGTCTGCATAAAAGGTTATTAAAGAAATTAAACGTTATTTTTATAATACGATAAAGCCGACGTTTAAAGAAGTTTTTCATTGTTTCCACTATAACAATTGTTAAAGAAAATAACGAGGTAATAACTGAACTATTTTTTACATTGATTGATTCTAAAATGTTTAACCTTAAAATGCGGGGCCATTGTATGAGTTTTCTCTCTTTGTATTACTTTTTTCGCTGAATCATCTAGCTCTATGATGCTCATGCGTGAATATGAGAACAATGAGAATATCATTTATTTGACGATAATTTTAACGTACTTAGTAATGTACTCATGAGATCAATATTAAAAAAGGGGTTCATCGATTATTATATCTTATTTTCATATGACTTTTGTATTATTTTTCATCCAGATGTATCGTCCAGATTTCTTGAAACGTGTATATGATATATTCTTTAACACAATAAACTGTACAATATGTAGATATATTCTGTTCACTTTGTTTGTAATCTGTTGATGTATACCATTTAACTTGCTAAATTTGTTTTAATGATACATGTACAGTCAACAAAAACAAAACTAAATATTGACTTTTAATTTTATATTGAAATATAAGTAAACGGGAGAGTTATTTCACTTTCACATTGATTTCATTTTGTCAAACCTGTCAAACAGTATCAAGAAATAGCACGGGAATTGAACAGTACTATTTCTCTTTGAAGACTAACATCTTCGCGTTTTCATCTTACTATGTCTTCGACGCGAATGCGCGAATCTTATATGCTATGTTGATTTGTCATTACATTATGATTTTAACGGCGTATCGTTTTCTAGCAGTAATATTGATTGCAATACATAAATCATGTTCGACTCTGTTGTCTTTTTTATTCATGCCACATGGGAGTTTTTGACATTCTGAGTATAGCAACAAACATGCAACAATCTGCAATAAAGAATTCTTAAATTCACAACGGATAAATTACGCTTACATTCATGTATCAGTTATAACAACAACGACAAAAATTATTTTTAAAGATTTCTTTATCATAACCCCTACGGCAATACGATTAAAACTGTTTGAATTTATCGCTGTACAGTAGCTTTTATAAAGGTGTTAAAATCAAATTGCTTAATCCATTTATTGGTCATTTATGTTATTATGTATATATTGACTTCCAAATAGTTATTAATCAGAGCGGGCGCTGTGGTGCAGTGGTAACACTGTTTGACTACAGATCGAGGGGTCGCAAGTTCGACCCCCCGCTACTCCACTAAAATCACTAACACACACTACTCACACAGCACACACACACTACTCACAACAGCGCACACACACTAACAAAACAGCACACGCACACTAACACGCATTCACTACTCACACAGCACACACACTACACACACAGCACACACACTATTCACACAGCACACACACTACTCACACAGCACACACACTACTCACACAGCACACACACTACTCACACACAAACACTACTCACACAGCACTCACACATCACACACACTACTCACACAGCACACACACTACTCACACACAAACACTACTCACACAACACACGCACACGCACACGCACACACAACTCACAAAGCACACACTCTACTCACACAGCACAAACACACTAACCAAACAACACACAAACACTCGCACACACACACCAACACACACACACACACGCATTCACTTCTCACACAGCACACAGACTACTGACACAGACCATACATCACTCACACAACACACACAAACACTACTCACACAGCACATACCACTCCTCATGCAACACACACACTACTCATACAACCCACACACACTACTCACGCAACACACACACTACTCACACAGCACACACACTACTCACGCAACACACACACTACTTACACATCACTCACACAACACACACATACACTTCTCACACGGCACACACACTACTCACACAGCACACACACACTACTCACAAAACACACATACTACTCACGCAACACACACACTAGTCACACAGCACACACACTAGTCACACACAAACACTATTCACACAGAACAAACATCACTCACACAAGACACACAAACACTACTCACATAGCACACACACACAACACACACACTACTTACGCATCACACACATATACTACTCATACAGCACACACATTCACAACACACACTACACAAACAGCACATACTATTCACACTGCAAACACACAACACTCAGCAGACATAGAATACAGCACACAAACCACTTACAA